GGGGGGGGGGGGGGGGGGAATATTGGCCAGCACTATATAGACATTTGATCTGCATTGGGGAGCTCAAGCAATAGGAGTTGCGATGCTCGGTGTGGCATTGTGGCAATGCTATAGGAGAAGAGACGGAAGGGGGGGCAAATTATTACATGCACCTAAGGTAAGGGCGACAGTACATGAAGAAATTAAGATATTTAAGGATGTCATTATACAACTACAACAAACCAAATAAAATCGCACAAGACATAGGGTGTTGGAGGTTGTTTGTAGGAGATAGGTTGTTTCCAAAGACTAATGTAAACCGACAAGGCAAACACAATAGCACGGAGAAAGTAAGCACACAAATACACTGAAGGATGTCGTTGTCATAAACGTAAAATGTTCAGAATAAACAACAGTGTTTGTTCGAGTGGACAGAGAGACAGAGATGCAGATTGCATAAAAAAAACTCAAAACCATATCACATTAAAGCACCAGAGGTTGTATACACCAAATGTTGTCATCAGTTGAAACACAACAGGACCAAAAAGAATAATCAACAAATAGTATATAAAGCTAAGACATCTCGCGGAACCTGGCAATCGCCTTCTTCTGTATCAGGGTTCTATAGCTGTCCCCGGCTTGCACTTCCAGGCTTGGGTCGACTTTCTTTGGCTTTGGTTGACTTCCAAGTCCTGCTCGGTTGTCTGTCGCCTGTGCTTGAACTGGCTCCTTCATCCCGCTCCCATCCTTTCCCAATCCCTGGACATCAAATCAACCGGGGGGGGGAAAAAACAAAAACAAAAAAAGAAACAAATTTCCAAATCAAATGTCAGTTCCTGGAAATCATCCCTTTTCTTCATTCACTGGTCCGCCAGGTTGTGTCCAGTAGAGAAGATTCAACCATTTACAGGCGCTACATTGACAGTTTGGCACACATGTCCCTTTACACTATGTTTGGTTCAAGGAATCAGAAAAGGAAAAGAAAAAATTTAAGATGGAAGACAGTTTTTCTTGTTTGGTTAGAGAGGAAAATAAAAGAAAAGTGGATGGAAAAGAAAATGAAAAGGTAAAATATAAGAGGAAGGAAAATCAAATTCCTTCCATTTTGGTGAGGAAAATGAGAGAAACTCAGTTTCTTTTCTTTTCCTTCCTAATTCCTTGAACCAAACATAGTGCTAGAGTTAAAGGTTTACTGTGTTATAATTAAGGAGTAGTGAACATGAATAAATAAAATGAGCACCAATAATTATCTAAAATAAGTGTATCTAGTTTTCGCGCATCTTTTCTATAACCCCACATTTTCTTCCCTTTTAATTTTCCTATGTTTCCTTGCTACTGTATTATATTTCCCCGCATTTTGGCACAGTAAACATCTAGAGATTTAGGATTAAAGTAGTTGGGTAGATCTTTGGGTCTTAATTTGGAGTTTATGATGGTGCGTTTTACGCCGGTATTTGTGCTTCTTGTCTATATATTAGTACTTTGTTTGTGCTACTGTATATTCTGTATATGCTTTTGTATCTGAGCCGAGAGTCTCTTGGAAACAACATCTACTTTCAAGTAGGGGTAAGGTCACATACCTTCCCCAAACCCTACTTATTGTGGGATACTGGGATTTTAATGGGTTTGTTGTCATTTTGTGTACGGACAGTTACTTGAGATGAGAGGGAGTATCAAATAAGCATATGAGGAAGTGAAGGGTGAGGAATGATACCGAGCCCTCTTGCCAGCCCATATTTCTGAGCATACGGTTCCCAACATTACTCTCATCAATAGCTCGATCAGAAGTTATAACCTCAAAGCTTTGAAGATTTGCATCTGCAGAAACACGGCTGCCTCCAACTCCAGGCGGGAAAGGAGTTGGATCAAACACACCTCTTCTCGATGTGGAATCACGATCTTAGTTTCCCACAACAACAAAACAAATTCCTCACAGTCAATACAGATATTTAAAATATAGAGTGCATCAAGTCATCAACTCCCATTCGAATCTTCTTTCCCAATAAAATTTCCCACTAAGGTCAGGAATCAAGAATATTAGCTCTCAAACGCAACCACACCCTGCCAAAATAACTACAAAAGCAACCAGGGAATTGCTGCAACACACTTCTAAAAATAGAGATGAAATGATTTGGTCCCTCAACTACGTAATGAGGGTGTTCAGCAATGATTTTGGTGACTGGCCCGCAGTTTTTGCATTGGATAAAATCAAGTTAGTAATGTTTGGCACTGCTTTTGGTGTGTGATTATCTTCCTCTAATAAAGATAGAGAAGAAAAAAAGTTGAGAAGCATCTCTAATGCACTTTTGGAAATTATCACTTTTCCAATACTTTAAGGCTGAACCACCAACACCCTCATTACTCAATCTGTTCCTATTTAACTGTTTACTTCAACCAAATCACATATATTAAGGAATCCACATAAATTTTAGAAACCAGTGACAGCTTTTATCTTTTTCATACCAAATTTACTCACATTAAAGTTTTAAGGATAAGGTTAGTAGAAATTAATTAATGCACCATATATATGTAAAACAGAAAAGTAAAAGAAGACATGTTGAAGTTCTTAATTTGCTAGTCGACATTCCGTTGGAATCAACTTGATCCACAAATACGAAGTGAGACATGTTCCACACTTATTAAGAGGAGCATTTTTGCACACTACGAACTAAATGGGGTCCCTCTCCCTCCCTAACTCTCTCTCTCTCTCATATATATATATATATATGCATACATACATGTATATATATATATATACACACACACACACATATATATACATACATACATATATATATATATATATATATCTTGTAGAAAAACATTAAAAAACTCAGCGAAACACAAAGAATATTATTTATCCAAAAAACAATTCATTAAATTCTTACTTGAATCCCCGAGATCCAATAAATTGTCTCCATATGAGGAAGAACCATATAAACTCCTTCGCTCAGCGGCACGGTCTCTATAGGCACTATTATTTGTAAACTGTTCCTTATCGGAAACGTGTTGTGATGGCATCTCAGAGAACCTTCTTTTACTGCCACTTCCAGCTGTCACAGATGATGTGGAGGAACTTAATGCAGATGGATCTGTTCTATATGGACTTGCACTTGTCGCAACATCTGAAGTAATCGATGGAGCAGAAATTCCTGATGACCCTGTGTATGAAGTGTCTTTTTTCACCACTCCCAGTCCAGATCCCCTAATTACACCCTTTAAAGGTGCTACTACCCCAGAGCTGTTGGTCAGAGGCCTATC